ACGCAGGGACCGGTTCCCTCCCAGGGGTGTCTCGGTGCCCCGCTTTGGGCCTTGCAAGAGAGGGAGAGGCATCACTTTGTGCAGGAGGGGAGGCAGCTATCATTGCATGGGGATGGGGAAACTGAGGCACGGAGCCAAAAGGTGCAATTCCTCCCCGGCTCAGGCAGCGTTTAAATCGGCGCGGGGCTCGGAGGTTGCAACATCTCTACAAACCATCTCTACCCCCACCTTCGGGGTCTCCTTCTCAGCTTTCAGCATCTGCAACCAAAACGGGGGATAGGATGGGGCTGGGATGGGTTGTGGTCTCCGTTTTTGCGGGGTATGCAAATACAAGTCAGCCAAGAACAAGTCAACACAGCGTCAGGCTCGTCTCCGTGTCCTGCGCCAAGCTCCTTCTACCAAACCCCTATGAGATTTGGGGAGAGCTCACGCTGGGGCCGACGTCCCCGAGCATCTCCTGGGCTGCCTGTAGGGTCAGGGGAGAGAAACAAGGCAGACGAGCCTGGGTTTTATAAATACCTCCGTGGGTTGTCTGCTTTGGGGTGAGACGAGTCCTGTTCTGGGCTTAGGAGGGAGGATCTCCAGGATCGGCACCCTTCGGGTCAGCCCAGCTTTGCTGTTGCACTGGCCACGAGCAAAAAGGCTTTTTAGCAGCATTTTTAACTTGGTGTGCACAGAGAGAGGCTTTCCATAGAGAGCCTTGGCGATGGCTCCGTGGCCAACACTTTCAGCACCTAACGAGCCACCTTAATTTGCAGCAGCCAGGCAGGATTCGCCTGCCTGCCCCTCGGATCTCCTGGAGCCCCAGCCTTCACCCTGCTGCCGCAGCTTGGTCCCTGCCCAGGGACTTCAGCTCTTCAGACCTTGGCATAATTGACTGGGTGCTTAGAGGCGAAGTAATTAAGAGATCGGTGCAGATAAGCACAGCGACACAATTCATCATGCTCCGTGCGCCTGTGGAGGGCAGGGGTTTATGGCCAGCCACGGCCATGTATCAAGGAGCCTCAGCAGGAGGGAAAATCGCGTCCGTCCCCCCCGCCAGCGGGTGCAGACGGACATCAGCTCGCTGCGGTGGCAGGGTGGTAGAGGAAGGCAACGAGCAAAGGGGCACCGGGGGACCGGCAGGTCCCTGTCACCCTCCCTGGCTCCCAAACCCACTCACCCCCATCCTGCCCCAGGCAGAAACCAAAACCAGCCCCAAAATCCTTCTCTCCAGGCGTCCGCTGCGTTGGAGGCACAAGGGGCCCCATTGTGTGGCCACGGGGCTGGAGATGATGGGGATCTTGCGAGGGCTGCCGGGGGGGGCTCCAGGGAGTGGATCCCTGAGGGCAGGAGGGTCACAGCCCCATCGCGCTGCTCTCCCTGGGCATTGGCATCTGGAGAGTTTCGGGCCGATGATAGATTTTTATTTTCTTTCTTTTTTTTTTTTTTTTAATCCTGAGTAATTTGTGATCTTGCTGGATTGAAAGCGCAACATAGGTGGAGGGCTGTGCGGCGGTTTTTGATGAGGCTCTGGGAACTGTGGTGATAAAAATCATTTAGCTTTAATTTATAGATATTGTTAAAATTAAAAAAACCCAACCCGCTCTTGATTTCTAATATAATAAGATTTATTTTTAATGTGACCAGCGCACCTTCCTCGGCACAGGGGACGCCCCTGTGTTTTATTGCCCCAGTGCTGCTGCTTTATGACGAAGGGCTGTTTATGGCTTCGAGCTGATTTTAATGATGTTTTTTTCAAACATCTGGCGGGTTGCTGGAAGCTGTGGCACACCAGCTGAGGCCAGGCCCCTCTTTAGTGTCCGAGAAAGTGAGTGGGAAGGCGGTGGTGTTCAACGAAAGGCTCTCAGCTCCGTCCCAGCGAGGCACGGCACAAACGGGAGATGTTTGATGGGGACATCAAAGGATGGGGAGCCTTCCTCCTGGCTGTTTGCTCCTGCCTTATGCTGCTGTCTCCCTGCTGCTGGAGCAGCTCTTTATCATAGAACCATACAATCATGGAATAGTTTGGGTTGGAAGGGACCTCTAAAGGTCATCTAGTCCAACCCCCCTGCCGTGGGCAGGGACATCTTCAACTAGAGCAGGTTGCTCAGAGCCCCGTCCAACCTGACCTGGAATGTTTCCAGAGATGGGGCAGCCACCACCTCTCTGGGCAACCTGGGCCAGTGCTTCACCACCCTCAGCGTAAAAAATGTCTTCCTTATATCTAGTCTAAATCTACCCTTCTTTAATTTAAAGCCATTTATGGGGTGAACTGGAAAGACAGAGGGTTATAATAACCCACGTGGGTTGTTTTATACTGCCTTGGGTTGCCCCACCGGGCTCCCTATGCAAATGTATCACTGGGAACATGCCACCCCACCAGGACCTCACCCTGCTAGCGGGACGGCTCATGAGAGGGGAATGTGTGCCCCATCCATCCATCCATCCATCCATCCATCCATCCATCCAAGGTCACCCCCAGGACCCCTCTCAGCACCCCCAGAATGGCTCTGCCTGTCCCCCATGGCACACACCAACCCCATCAAAGGTCCCAGGACCTCCTGGTGCCCTGGGGAAGAAGCCTGAAGAAGGGTCCCACCACCTGGCAGGGACAACCCAGCGTCAGGTCAAAGCTGACTGCCTTCAGCTCCTCTCCTCATGATCCCTTCCCGTTCCTGAGAAAATGCCCCAATTAGGTCAATGACACGGTGGGATGACCCCCCCCCCCCCCTCTCGCTGCCACGCTGCGCCCTGCAGATAACTATTCTTGCTGACAAACGAGCTGCTGTAAAGCCCAGGACTTCACCCCCCCGCCTGCAGATGGGCTTCGGAGCTGTAAGCGGAGACGCGTGGGGATTGAGGTGGCATTTGTTGAGCGAGGCCACCCTGTCCCATGGGAGCAGCCGGCTCGGAACTGGGCTCAGAGGGGAGAGGATGAGGGGAGAAACCCAATACCCCTCTTGGCTCGCTCGTGGCTTAATTTAGAGCATGGGGGCTCTGCTAGAGTGTTTTTTCCATTTAAAGCCGAACCTCATTCCTTTTGCCATGCACGGGGCGAGGGCCCTGCGGCTTGCAGGGCAGTAGCAGCTGCTGGCTGCGGCTGCCGGGGACGCTGGCAAAGCTGTTTCCAGCCTAGTTCCCCTTTGCCACCAGCTTCCTCCCCACTTCACCCACGTGAAGGACTGAAAATCTGTCTCCTCCTCGCTCCTCTGTCCCGCTTTGGAGCCCCGGGGAGAGCGCAAGGCACCCGCAGCCCCGATCTACGGTTCTAAATTGGAGCCGTGACAGTGGGATCGGCTTTGACCTGCTGGCTGATCCTCTGCCACTTGGCCGAGCAGAGCCCAGGGCAGGGAGAGCTCGCCTGTGTCGATACTGCCTATAGTTAACCACGCTAATGCAACTTAATTCATGTTACGGCCAGTTTGGAAAGCTGCACTCTTGCGATGTCCGCTCTTCGCAGGTAGACGCCTTGCAACAGGCCGAAAGGAAAACGATGACAATTCATCAAAGGTCATTTATTCCCAGCGGTTCAGCTGTACTTTTAAAATTGGATGCATCCGTCAGGCACTTTCTGGCTGCTTCGTGGAAGCGCTCTGCCCAGCTCCAGGGTAGGAGACAACCTTTGGCTCGGCCCAAGTGTTTGGAGGACTCGTATTCTTAGCATACGTTGGCTAAAAGCTGGCCAAATCCTAACGCGGAGCGTCCGTAGCCTTAAATACTTGCAGCAAAATCAACCTTACGCTGTTCTTCGCAGTTTAACTGTATCCACCAGCCTGTGCCAGCGATGCCGGGCCTTGTCACCGCTAGCTTGTCACCACCATTAGCTACAATGAGAGACTGAAAAAACTCGGAGCTTATCAAAAAGCGGCCTGTGACATGGCTTTACGCTGGATGAAGGCTGTCCCAGCGAGGAAATGCTGGGTACTCACACCGCTTTTATCTAGCGAAGAAAGGCGTAACGATGACTGGCTGCAAACTGAAGCCAGAGAAACTCGGATAAGAATTGAAGCATGGGATTTTAATGGGCTGGTAATTATCCACAAGGACAAACTTCCAAGGAAAGCAGGGGGTTGGGGAGGTTTCAGATCAAGCTCAGCTACATCCCTGAAAGAAATGTTGTAGCTCAAACAGCACATCAAGCATGCTGGAGAGATTCTGTGCCTGAGGACCAGCGTATGGGTTTTCGCAGGCAGTGAGAAAAATATTTTCACTGTTTTTATTCTGAGTGATGGGTTGGGGGACGTGGGGCTGCTGCAGCCAGCTGAACTAGGGCTGCTGCTTCCAAGATCTGTCAGGGTTTCCTACATTCAGCAACAAAACGACATGCACTGCAAGAAAATCGGTATCATACCTTGAAAACTGGGAATCAGTTGCTGCAAGAGTCTGCAGCAGCAGAGATTTCGAATGCAGATCAACTCTGTGGAAGCGCAGAGGGAATTTATTTCAAAACTAAGGTGAAAATTAAGATCTGGACAATTTGGCTTGTGTTCAGACCTTGCCACTACTCTGTGACAGGAGACAGATTGCACATTTCCATGCGAAACAGTTACTTACAGGTATGGGCTCTCTAGATAAACTATTTTATAGTGTCTTAGTTCCTTCTTTGTCAAGGCATGCTTGTGTGTGTGTGGTGTGTGTGTGTGTTTGTGCAGAAAAAAAGAGAAAATGCTTCTGTGCAACCCCAAACAAGCATATGTTTAAAGAAATGAGTGTTGCAGCACTTGAGAAGAGGTTTGCACCATGTGCTAGCGAGCCATATGTGTTCTGTAACATAGAGCACTCCCAGTTTCTTATCTGCATTTCATGGGTTGATTCACAGCCACCCCAGGAAGAATTTTGCTGGAGAGCGGTATGATCTTCACTGCTTCATCACGGGACGGGAGACAAATGCTGACTGTGTATTAGAAAGGACGGCAGATTGCCTCTCCCATACTTAAGTGAAAATATTATGGGTTCACACTTCTGTGTAAGCGAAATCAGAATCTCCAGCGGCAAGCTACCAGCCTGAATTTAGCAGCCACCGCATAGCAAAATCTCCACACCTCTGCCGCAGCTCAGGCAGCTTTTCAAAGGAATCCGCTCACTACCGCAGGTCCTTAAAATATCTGTCAGAGGTGGGCTGATCAATTTGGTCTGCTCACTCTATCCCATGCTACATAATCATCGAGATGGAGTTGAACAGAAACGAACCGCAGCTCACTTGAATGAGACTCTGTCTCTCGAGCAAGGATTTACGATTCCTCGAGTTGTCGGGAGGAGAGGATTGCGGGTTGCAAGATGCCTTTTCCTCTGATGCTACCAGCAAGGTGAGCAGGAGGAATTTGTCAATGAACCGTTTTGGTCCCGGTTTTTGCGAGAGAGACGCTGACAGCTTTGCTGAGCTATAGGCCAGTGCTGGGGGAGCGGAGCAGGGCTCTTAAGTACAGGGAGGGTTAACTCTCAGGCGCTGAGCTTCTTCTCGACTAGTGGCCTCCTCCATCAGGGACTCCGTGAGCTGTTTGAAGAGAGACATCTCTGAACCTAAGCAGGAAAAAGACAGGGATGACACCACCCTCACCGCATCTGGAGTAACTCCCGCTCTGCTCTCTTTTTCACTCTGCCTTATCGCAGGGCAAGTGGAGTCAGGATGCAATCCCTGTTCCGGGGAAGGGAGCAGCAGCTTGCCTGTCCACAAATCCACTTTGCACTGGTGGTGGCTGGGGTTAAAGTCTGACAAACTTCACAGTCACAAAAGGAGGCTGACAAAGCAACGCAGGAAAAGAAGAGCTTTCAAGACTTTCAACCGAGAAACAAAGCAGCACTATACAAAAATGACTAGCTCTCCATTTGCTTTTAATCCCCAAGGCTAGCTCTCTGCTGGCAGGCTGCATGTTAATGCCTTATTAGCTTGCGCTTGGTATTCTCACCATGCTGCAAGAGAAAAGGACAGAGATGCAAGGGTTTTCAGCATCTCCAAAAGTCCCGTCGCTACCGCAGTGAGGACCTGCCTGTGTTTTGTTAGCATTTCTTCCTAGCGAGAACAAGCCCTGCCTGAGGGATGAATGCAGAGACCCAGGAATAGGGAATTCATAGCCTGGATGGCAAGTTTCGCATGGAATGAGCTGAACGTACGGTGGGTCTGACTGACTGCAGGGGCAATCTGCACAGTCTACCTTTTCAGTGGAAAATCCACCGAGTTTCAGAAAACTGCTTGGCAGCAGAGTTCAATGCAAAGAAACAGGTCGGAATGGTGAGTGGAGCCCCCCCCGCAGAGTTCACTTGCAGATATTCACAGGCCAGGCTAATCCACTCCCTCAGCACTTAAGTACTACAGAAAGCCTGAGACAGACAGGTATCGGTGTGCTGATAAAAACAGAACTCAGTTTGTTCCTGGCACGATTTTGGAAGGGGGCTGGCATAACTTTTGTATAGCAAATTCCTTCATGAGCTGATAAAGGCAGCAGCATATTGAATATCGAGGCCTCTTGAGGAAAATTCTATTGAAACTAGGGAGGTTTTGCCCAAAATCACACTGCAGAATTGCAGCTTCCTAAACTGCACCAACTTATGGCATGTGCAGTCTGAGAGCCAGCTGCTGGCTAACTCGTACAGACAGAATTTGCTGACATGCAAAGCCTTCACCCTTTTTGTATTTCATCTCCATTTCTCATCCTCTTCTGCAAATGCTAAAGAAATGACATGATCCAAGGCTGCAAAACGGCACTGCCACTGCATTTCAATTCATGGGCACGATGCCTGGGCTCTCTCCCTGCTTTGCAGTCCAAAGGACTCTGAATATCTTGCTTAACTCTTCTCTTGTTTCTGCTGCCGAATGGCCTGTACAAAGATATCCTTCACTTGGTCCATTGTGTCTTGATACAGTTTAAAGTCTTCCTCTTTCTTTCTCACAGTAGTCTCCAAAGCGGCCTTCAGAGCTTCGTTCTCATCCAGCTGGATCACAAGCCTATGAGGAAACAAAAGGAAAACTTTCATGTGAGCTGTGGAGCTTCAAAGCAAATTAGAACAGCTCTGGGGAAGAAAACACTGAAACGCATGCTCTCTGGTAATTTTATGACAGGCGTGAGAAAGAGCAGACTTAACACTTGTTCCTTCTCTCTGAGATAGAAAAGAGTATTAGATGACCAAGATACTTTTCAGATCTGTTTTGTTAAAGATTATAATTTTATTTTCATTAGTAAGTTTGCAATCAACGCATAAGGAAAGAAAAAAAAAAAAGGTGTCTTCCTTGCACGTCTTTTGTGTTGCTTAACATTTGCGTTAGCTTAACATTTCTGGGTATCTGTATAATTATTAGGAAATTTGTGTAAGAGTGACATAGACAAGCTCAAACCAGAGGATCTGTGATTTCTACAGAGTTTGCTAGATTTTGTCTTCTGAGGAGCGGGTGCAGGTAATATCACTGCTAAGAGGACAGCAATGAATTTTAGCTCTTGCGAGTAACACAGCGTGGAGGAAGGGAAACCATACCTTGTGCTCAGCTCCTCTATCTGCGATTCCAGAGGCAACTTGGAAAGCTGGGCTGCAGAGAGCTCCTTCCTATCACTCACATTCGAGGTGAGTCTTGAGTGACTTGCAGACTGGCCTGTAGATTTAATCACAAAATGGAGTTTTAGTAAAACAAGCAACCATTTTCTCTTAGTAGCACACAGAGTAAATCTCAGGAAACGGTGAATAAATACTAAGGAATCTGTTAAGTTCTATGCATACCCATGAAGATACTGCAAATATATAGGACAGACTTTTATTTTAGTCTCCTTTCAGCAAAATGAAAACATGATGAGTTTGCATTTCTGGGCTAAATGCAGCAATATGTGTGCCTACCTATTTAGAGAAAAAAAAAAAAGTCCAAAATATTTAAGTGGCCAAAACAATAGGTGATAGAAACAGTTGAAAAGGATTATTTTGATGTTTATCTTGTCATTGTGCTTCACTTAAGATTATGGCAACTCTTGCTTCCTGAATGCCTGTGATAATGCTTGTGCGTGGCACACACCGAAACAGCTTTTGTAAAGCTGTTAAGCACTTTGCTTTATTGTGTTTAACCTATGTTGTGTTTATGCTGAGGATCACTTAAACATGTACTTCAAACTAAGGTTCTAAATCAGGAATGCTTTCCTAAATAAAGGCCTACCCAAAACATGCAGCATTGCTCCTGTCATTTCAGAGGGACACAAAAACTTTTTTCAGGGTTATAGAGAAAATATAATTCACATTTACTACTGGGACTGGAAAAGCAAAAAGCTGTGACCGACCAGTGAGTCCCTACAATGGAAGAAGACTCAGAGAAGACAGGCAAGTATGATGTGCTCAAGAAGCTCAGAAAGGAATGTAGGAAGTGACCACAGCTATCGTAGAAGATGCTGAACTTATCCCAACACCAAGGGGACTGGAGGGTGGTCTTTGCTGTAGATGAACAGCTGAATCAGTTGAGTAAATGTAAATGGCCTTCTCTAAAATAATCAATGGAAAGTACTACCTACCTTGAGCCAGCTAGACCTACATGAGGGAAGTGTATATGTGGTTCGGCCCAACATAGAGTATAAAAATCAAACAGCCAGCAAAATGAACTTTGAGGAGAACAGGTTTGACCTGGCTTCAACCCATGTATTCCTTTCTGGCAACTGGGGACACCCAGCATCGTGACAGTGAACATCGAGGCTGGTAATAGGAATCATATTTGTGTTGTGATTCAACTGTACATTGCAATTGCTATATTGTGCTTGTGTTGTGATTTCACTACATTGCTGTATCACTTTTCCAAATTAGAATCCCACATAACATCAAATATCTTCAAATAAGTAAATTTGGTGTTAAACTACTAAATCCTCCTCGTGTGGAATATCTAAAAGAACCTGGTCAGGGAGTATTGGACTCTGACAAAAACACACGAGAAGAAAAGGCTATATTGTATAACCAAGAAATGCTTTTGATCTTGAGATTGTGTTTTACAGGACTGAGGAAAACCTGCTGTTACTTACCTATTCTCCTTTGGGATTATTCTTTGCTAATTAGAAATTTGGATAAGACAGAAAAAACCCAAAAAGCATGAATAATTTTAAAACACAACTGGGTTGTTTCTAGCTACTCAGCATCATTATCTACTTCCCTTGAATTGAAGAGACTAGAAACATTAGATTAGCAATTAGATCAGCTCTCTCCAATTTTGCACTTTCAGAAAGAAAAGAAAATATTATGTTAATTAGCGGGTTCTCTAGTCTCTATTTTATATTCAAGCTTTTCATTCCTTCTTATTTCCTCAACTATCTGGCATGAAAGCATTTAGATAACCTACATGCTCTGCTGAAGAGGTATATTACAGACTTGTAGACTCGTTTCTTGTACAAACTCCAGAGAGTTTTGGCACATCACAAGGGGCTGAGCTGTCTTCACAGAAGGGTGGTGAAATAGATTGTTACCTACTCATCTTACGGACTTAGGGAGGATTTCTTCTTATTAGTCTTACTGCCAATCCTTTCCTACGTTTGCTTTTAGTCCTTAAGCAGACAAGACTAATTAACTAAGTACTTAGTAAGAAGGAACCTGTCACACTGGTAAGAACACCCTGCTTCCTCCGGCTATGAAATGCCAATCTCCCGGAGGTGAGTTACCAAACCATTACTACAGCACAACAACTTGACCAAAATGGCTCAGGACCTGGAGAGTTTATCACTGTATCTCTCTTTGAGGTTGCAAGGGAAATCTAAGGGGAGCACATGTATGATAACAGAACAACACATCAACACTTTACACTACCAGGTTGTAGAAAAGTCTAAGTGCTCAAAAATTCAGTTAAACTATCCTCTAGAAGACAGCACCAAAATGCTCCCATACTATTTAAGGCATGGAGTCAGTAAAAAGTGTACCATTGAGAGCTGTATTCCCACAACTCTCACCTGGCTACTACCTGTCCCTACACACACCCCGATTTCTTCCTCTGGGCACCTGCAGAACGGTACTGAAGGCTCCAAGACCTCTCACCTCCAAACCCCCCTGGGAATCACAAAGGGCATCCCACGATACCACTCCTGTAAGGCCCAGCACTGCTCTCTTATCAGGATGAATGTCCTATATCCTAAAGGCCAAAAGCTGCAGCACTTTGTTTCTGAGCACTAGGTTGCTATTAGGATCTAACTTTTTCTGCTGTCAGGCTCTCGGTTAATACAGGTAAGACAGCTCTGAAAATCAGTGCTCGCAGAAAAACACGAGTCAGTGTTGGCTGGAGCCCTTTCTAAGGACACAACAGTTCTGCTCTAAGGAAAGGATCCATATTTTACAGAGCGGTTTGAAGCAATCATTCAGTCCCCATTCAGGATAAAGACTCCTCTGAATCCTGTTCCCGTATACCTAATTCTCTCTATATGCTGGATGGGTGAATGGCAGTGCTTCCCTTGAGGTCCTGAACACCGTGTAGATGTTACACTGGAGACCCTAGCTCTCCTGTATGAATCAAGATCATAGCGAACAACGACGTGATTTCTTGCATCACGGTCCTGCTCCAGAGAGAACTTATTGTCAAACATGCATATGACCAAGAGCACTACGACGGGAGATGCAAAGAAACGCAATGCATTTACAGTAGTGTTTCTTACCTCGGTCTGACCCACGCCTAAGGAGAAACAAGACACCAGTGCAGGTGGAAAAGGAGGTGACTGCTTATACAGGTCATAGTGCTCAGTACAGGTCAGTTCTAAGGTGATGCGGTAGCGTTAGTACACACCGTAGTGCTGGATGGAGTCACGATGGAAAGCCACGCCATGCATCTGCTGAGCCGCAGGGCAGTCCCACCACGGCCCAAGATCATGTGTTTCAGTGTGGGGCAGGCCAAGAGCTTGTACAAGGTCTCTGATGAGGCTTGTGACCTCTAATCACCGTAATTCAGGCTGACGGCATCCTAGTATTTGCCAAATTGAAATTCCTATTCCTACTGTTCATATCCTGGCATTTAAAGTCTTTTTACTTTATGAAAATACATATAAAAAGGGAAACCACTGGAAAAGTTTCCTTAAGAATATGTGCCATTTTATTGGTTTAGATGCTTTACAGAATCAGGGTCCTTAAGCAATAAAAGGATCTGATCAGGGAAATAAAAATTTAACATCCGCCATGAATTCTTCTCCTTTAACTATGCTAGTGAGGCTTTCATATTTATAGCAGGAGATTATCATGTTCATGGGATAATAAATTACACCAGATCTAATTACTTCATCACCAGCAATAGTTTTTCATAGACACTGACAGGCCTTAAATTGGGATGCGTCCTTTAATTCTGCTCTTAACCTTCAGATGAATCTCTCAGGCAGAAGTGCAAAGGGAACACAGCAGTGGGCATGGTGGCAACACACAGCAGTGTCAAGTTTTTACTGTAGACTGTCATCCCATGAAAACAACATATTGCAAAAGTCCTGGTCCCACTTAAATCTGTGGCAAAATCCTCTTGAATTAAGCGGGGCCAGGATTTCACCTTCCGTATCGGTCCACTGGTCTGAGTAGGTCCAAATCTCCGTGTGTAAGGTCAAGCACTTGTGTAGGTTTGATAGATAAGAGTCCAAATGTTGTTGCTATTAACCACAGAGGTGGGACGGGGGACATAGTTGTAGATAAGTGCTCCACCTCACCTGTTTTGCTCCTCAGGGGAGGTTTCTGTGTACTTGTGTTCCTCCCCGGATCCATCTGCAGTTTTTCAAGCTGCTGTTCCAAAATGACACATCGACGCCGCTCTTCCTGAAGCCTCTTCTCAGCTTCCAGGACTTTATCGCTGCCTTCCTCCACCCTGATAGGCAAAAAAAGGTAGTTCAGCTTATGTATATCATGACTATTAAGGATCAGTCAGTCTTGATACGGAATCCTGCTTCATGCTGCATAGCTCCCAACAGAAGGAAAAGGAGAATCTTCCATGCATCCAAAGGCAGAAATCCTAGTGCAATTGTTCCAGATGACATCCTCAAAATTTGCAAAACAGAATTAACTAATGCGTACAGTTGGAAATAATGGGTTCATTAATGGAGGTTGCCTGGATCCCTTAACGCTGGCTACTTGTGTGAATTTACCACTCAGATAGGCAGGCAAGCTGCAGATTGCTGAGGAGAGATCTTTTATTACAAGAATAATAAAATGCATTTTTTTAAAACACACTGGGAAAATTTGGAAGGAAAATTGTTTATAAAAACACTGCCTAGCATTTAGCTGTTTTGCGTCAGTTATCTGCAAGTAAGAAAAGAAACTTGATGTTACTTTTAATAAACTTGGCCATTAGACAGCGAGTGGAAAAGAAAGTGACGGTTCACTCTGCAGTACAGAACGGAAGAGCAAACTGCCTCTCTATTCACCCCGCACAACATCTTAGAAATTTAACTACAAAAATCTGATGTGCGCCCACAGATGCAGTCAGTGATGCATCTCGGGTGGGGCAGCGCCCGATACCAAATGATTTAAAGGAGTTTAAAGCTAGAGAGAAACCTGAATTGACTCACTGTATTGTATAGTGCAGAATAAAAGAATGTCCATCTTGACCCCACGGGTGACAGCTGATTACTCCCTGAATCAAGAGACTTGATTAGTCTTATTTCCCTCCTAGCTGGCATAACTAAAAAAATATTACAACTATAATAAAATTATATCACTGTCTTAAAAATCTAGCTACAGGCGAGACTCTGACCTCCTGTGGCAGTGAATTACCAGGCTGGTGACATGCTATGAGAAATTATATTTATCTCAGTGGTTCTGAATTCACTAAATTTTCATTCGACCAGGTGTTCCCCTAGCATCCACGTTAGACAAACAGCGGAGGAAAAATGACAAGACTAGTTGGTTTTTATTAAATCTTCTGCCAATATGAATAACTTAAACTAAAATGTTCCTCTAGCTCTTCCCCTTCCCCCAGCAGGGCCCAATCCTACAAACCGTTTACAACGGACTGTCTTCTGACAGTATATTCTGTTCCGCAGTAAGTGATTGTGAAACACAGCCCTAAATTCTGGCAGCTGCTGTAGCAAAATCCTGCTCATGTAACCATTCCCAGCGCTCTTCTCTTGACTTAAGCATTATATGTGTTACTTGAGCTTTGCTGACCCACGCTCCAACAGGGGAAGGGAAGAGGAGGAATACCCGATTTTTTTACATATATTCATGTTGAAATATGACTGGATGCTATATTATCCTGAGGTCTTCCAAGAGTTATTGCACAGAATCTCACAGAATTTACTTTACCTGCAGGAGCTCTTGATAAATGTGTGGTAACTGTGGAGCTGCTGAATCATCAGTCTATGGTACATTTTACAAGCAACTGTGCATTTCATTGACTCCGTGTTCTTCATTATCCCATATTTGTGATGGCCCCATTTCAGCTATCACTCACACCTCCATATCCTTATCTAATTGCACAGCTCTATTAAAGTCACTGGGCTTACAAACACAAATAAGATTCTCCCAGCGTGTATTTCCAGGAGTTAGCCCTTAAAAGCACCTTTACCACAGTTAGAAAAAAATGTATTTTTCTGACTGCGATTAATTGTACGGGACAAAAGTTAGACAAGTGAGAAATGATAACTATTGTAAAATAAAGCAAGCAAGCAAGCAGGCAGTGTGTATTGTATTCAAAAGCACACAGACAAAAGTATATCTTCCTACAAGCTGGAACACAGATTTAGGAATCAAACAATATACATCCTGTAACTGGGAAAAAAAGCAGCAGCTGACAGGTGTCCAAAGAGAAAAGACTTTGCTTTCCCTGCCCTCCTAAAACATAGTTGGCTTTTAACATCATCTTAAATTGAAATTAATAATAGAAAAAAAAAAAAAAAATCGCCGCTATGCGATTTAAACCAGAAGAAATTAATTTAGAAGAGGACACAGTGAAACTTAAAAGAATGTGAAAAGCTTTTGGAACAGAAGTCAGATTATAACTATAATTACAGTATTTACTACTGATGAATAATATTGCTGCCTAAATAACACGACGCATATATAAATACATGAATTGTAGTTTTATCTAGGTGCAACAAGCTTGAAGATGACTCCATTTTTTCTGCCCTTTGTTCCAAAAGAATAATAAAAAAAAAGAATCATCAACTAGGCAGGGAAATGGAGCAGAAAAAATTTAAAAGCCCCTATTTAAGGAAAGGATCACACTGGCAGCGTACGGTGTACTGTACTGCATGCTATAGACTCTCACACGTCTCAAGCACTCCTTAATTGCAGCATCCCACAAAGGATACTGGCAGAATCAGCCGCTACCTTTTCTGCAGCACAGTGACCAGTTCCAGGAGCCTGTCTCTTTCCACTTCAGCAGCCTGGCAGAGAGCCTTGTGCTCTGTGATTTGTGTCTGCAGCACTTTCAAATCCAGGCTGTCAGTGCCAGCAAGCCTAAAAGCAGCAGAAGCGTAGAGAGTCTGTTTCCCATTTCACAAATGAAAGAAATGAAACAAAGACAGGATTTGAAAAACATATCAAAATACACTTGTCTGAAGACTAAGCCAGAATGCAGAGCCAGGCTCACTACCTCCCCCCAGCATCAATCTCTATACTGCAATAAATGGAATAGAAATGTGTGGAAATAAAGCCACCGTCAGTTTCATGAGAAAGGTCTTTTCCTTCACAAGGATGCTCTCCCTTCTCATCACCCCCAAAAAAAACCTTCCACCTCTGATCAGTTCACTGTCACTGACTCTCCTCCCATTGCTACGGCCAAAGTAGCAAAGAAGCCTATACGTGGATTCTCCAAAGTGCTAAGCTATTAAATGGCATGCTATGGATTTTCTCCCACTGAAAGGCTTCAGGCAACATTAGTACAATGGCAGTTCTCGTGTCTAATATGTGATGAAAGGAAGGGGCAGTTTTCCCATGCATCCCATTGTTATGTACTTCATTACTTCTCCGACCTCTCTGCACAGGAGTATTCAGGAATATCTCCTTTAGAGCAAAAAGCAGGAGAAATCTTGGTGATTGGGGGTGAAAAGGATAAAATGGGATTTATGGGGTATATAAAGAAGCTGTTCGTTACAGAAACAAGGCAGACAAGGATAAGGCTTGCCAGCAGCTTGCGGAGCGTGGCAGGAAACATCCCTTGTTTATGATGAAGTTTATATACATACCTTCCAGGTGTGATGTTATTACTGAGAAGGGAAGGCTTAGTAGCTGCAGACTCTACAAGCGTATGGCCCATCTTGGACACTGTCCTGAGAGGAAGAAAGCTTCGTTAAGCACTGAGCTCTACAGAGGGCAGTCCTCCAAGAACTCCGGTCATTTTCCAATGTCTGTGTTTATTGCTGCCTTGTAGGGAAGAGACTCCCAGAGCCTTCTAAGTGGGTATCACACAGGCTCTGCACACACAATAGCTCAGCTTGCTCCCCGGCTCCAAAACACGCTGCAAAAACACCTTGTGTCTCCGTTATGCAAAAACTATAGCTCAGTTGTTTGATCTCTGTGCTTCTGGGGATACTTTGCTGGCACTCCAGACCAGCACTGTGGAGCTCCATGTCACAGAGTAGCCACACAGCAACTCGTGAGCAGGAATAGCTCTCGACCCTGCTTGGCTCAAGCTGAGCACGCAGCCACATAAGCAGCCACTGCTTCTCTGTTTCCTCGCAGACACTGCCTTGGACCCTTGCACAGAGCACTCTCATCTTACACCTTCACCCACTAGGGTGAAAGACAAGCACAGGTTACTGCGCTTGTTTGATGGTCTTGGCATGTTGCATGCTTTCCTAACCAAATGAACCCCTGTTCTACAACAAGGTGCACAACTTTTAATTCCAAATGCCTTTTAAAAATATACTTTATATAGTTTTCTGAACCCTTCTACTTTGTGGAGACCCTCAGGAAGATCTGTCAGGCTTACTGTTGTAAGAGGAGGAGTCAACTGATAACACTAGAGTATCACTTCCAGTCTGGATGAGTTTTATGCATAATGATATATGTGCTTGGGACATAAAATTCTAGTGTGTGTTTGTTTTCCGAACTTGAGCTCAGCTGCCTAAAGCAAGTCCCTGTAGACTTAGCCCATGTTTCCTTGTCTTCAGGCTGCAGCTAACAGAGGATAAAACCTTAATGCTGTGGAACAGGCAGAGCTGCCTTCTAGGCTAGGAGTGGTTAATCCTAAAATCAAGTTAAGGTTGATAATGACAGAAGTGGCCCAGTCTACCAATGCAGAATTTGACTTCGACATCTCCAAGGGGCTTTCGTTCCTATTTATAGCATTTTTCATTTCATCTTTCCTGATAGGAAGAGATGATTCACTAAAGTAAAACGGAATAGAGAGTTCATCAACATATTAAAGTTAATGGAATGAGTGAGCTCTGCTGACCAAGTTATTAACTGCTCCTGTAGTTTTCAGACTCATCCATCGCCCACCTGACATGTCAGCTATTTTCATGACGGAGCTATGTTAGCCACATATACAAGCAATAATTTATGCATTGCACTTAGTGGCTTCTACAAAGCCATTACCCAACCTCGCCTTCCTGCTTGCCTTCCTGCTTACCATCAGCATGCATATGAAGTAAAAAAGTGGATAAAATATAGATTTGCTCCATGAGAGCACAACTTCTGCAGAATTAGAGGTGGGAGAATAAAGTCAGTCAGAAGGGTATAACAATGGAGATGCAGAAGCTTTCAAATCAAGGATGTTTTAACCCTAACTTGAAAACACTGAGAAGAACTTTTCTTAAATGTTGTAGTAATGCCCTACTTAGACTCAGGGATACATCTGACAATTTTAAAGCCAAATTCAGCATCTAAAGTAATGTGGTAGGCAAGTTAAAATTACACAGAAGAAATCAGTTGCAACTTTAACTTGATGAAAAATTTCCTCCTTCCTCAGAAGACCAGTCTCAAATCCTCATTGTCACTTAGATCATGAACTCTTTAGCAACAAAACCAGCATTTTAACAGGAAAGGATATAACTTGCTTTGGTATTGTGTTCCCTTTACACAGTCAGAGTGACCCAGAGTCACAATGGTGTAAATAAAAATCAGATTTACTGCTGTATTAAGATTAGTGTAACTTACATCGTCCTCAGTGAGGCTTTAAAAAGCGTGTTTGTTAAGAACAAATGATGTGGTGTGTTTTCAACATTTCTGCAAGTAAATCCTCTCAAAGCGTATTTATTGATTTAAATAATGCGCCAGTGATTTAGTGCTTACCTAAAATGGCATTTTATATTAATTCGCCACCCTGCTTTCAGAAGTCTGCTCATTAGAAGCCCCGTTTCTCATAAGAGAGAAGAATCACAGGCACTTAAGCTAACCACATAAACATTATCTGAGCTGGAGAAAGAGAATTAGCTGCGCTACCATCATGCCAAATGTAGTAATGTCTGCAAGTCTGTATATCTTTCTCTGTTCCAGGACGAAAGTCCAAGAGATAATGTGATTAGAGATTCCCATATACTGTAAACAGGCTGCCACAGCTGTTGGCACATACCACTTGTGGTTTGATACAATTGTCTGGGAAAACCATGCTTTTGAATAACTCACAACAATTTTAAACATTGACATTAGGGTCTTCTTACCGAGCAGATCCAGTCCTTCCAACCTGATTGCTGCCTGATGCCAGAGGCTTAAGCAGAGTAAAACCTGGATTTTCTGAGTGCTCAGAAGGTGGTGTATCAGCAGCTCCTGAACCGTCCCCTTGATGGGCAGATTTCTTCTGTTAATGTTGGAGCAGGTTATAAAACCAATTACACAGTTCAAAGGAAAATAGCTGCTTCAATGCCTAATCAGCAGCTTATGACTGTTGCTACAAGCATGCCAGAACTTTTGATTTACAGGACCTCCTCAGAAACTTTTCTTTAGTTTCTCTCCATTGCAGGATGGAAACAAAGCAAAAGTTAGTAAAAAGCGCAGTTTCTTATGAAATCATAGGGTGCACACAGCGTTGCTAGAGATCCGACAGCGCAGCACCATCACTACCAGTGCCAGCATGGTTAATTTGTGTCCCTAACCCAAGTTTTATCTTGGGTTCAATACTCTAGCCCCCATTACTGAGGTATCTGACAGATTCATAATCTCACCATAATCTCAAAATATGAGGGTTTTGTATCAATGGGAATTGGATGTCTAAATACTCTAACAAAACCTGACTGTAAGATACCAGACCACACAAGAAGCCTTTGGCAGGTTAGTGGACTGCCTCTCAATTCCCATGCCTGTGCTCTGGCAATAGTACCACTTCGCTTATGTTAGTTTGCAACACTAGACCATAAAAGTTGAAAACATTTTTAACATACTAGTCACAAGTGGCCAGCCTTCCCAATTCTTTCATCTGTACAATGAAATTTCCATATGCCTGAGACCCATCAGGCTCGTATCAATAGCTTGGAGATCTGAGGGAGAGGAATTTTCTGAAGTGATTTACAGTGGGAGATGAGAATAACTTACTAGGGGTCCCATCACTCCATGAGGGGATGTAGCTGGGTACCATGGCAGCCTGCTGATGTTGGCCTCACCTATGTTTGCTTGCTTGCTTGCTTCCTTCAGCAGCCAAGGATGCTGAATACTGAGAAGTCCCTATTGCAGCCCAACCCTTGCTGTCAGTCATGTGGCACAGTCTTGGCACGAAGCCACATGTGGATGTGATTGCTATTTCTATGTTTTCTGTTGCTTAAACAGCTTGAAGAAAAGTTACACACAAACAGGAAAGAAACTTAAGAGTCACAAGAGAGAATTCCTGCTTTATCCTTCCATCAGGAAAGTCTGTCAGTAGGACAGGTATTAGTGTCTCGAGCTAGCAACCATCTCAGATAACAAGGGAGAAGGAAGTGGAAGAGCAGATCTAAAATGATTACAAAGTGTGCTCCTCTAGTTAATTTCTTCTGACTGCCTACCTGAAGTGTGAGTCGCTCAATCTCCTCTTCCAGCTCTTTAACCTTTGCTTCTCGTTCAGCCACCATCTGTCTGAGCTGCTCTATAAGGCAGTTTTGTTTCTGAACCTCACTGTTCAAGTGCTGCCCTAGCATCTGCTGGGACTCCTTGTTCTTCTCATCCTGCTGGCTCAGGTGCTTTAAGATCTCCTGCATTTGCTTCTGCTGGCTCTGATAAAATAAAAACAACGAGGGAGATACTAACTTTTGTACACAATGATTATTAAGACTCCCTGGGTGTTTTACACCCTCCAAGACATATACCCATTTAGGAATGCTAGGGCAAGGCACTGCCTTGCCAAACCCATTCCCTGGTGTAAGCCCACTGGTGTCACTAGTGCTACTCCAAGAATTTGGTCCGTTACGTTTTAAGCGTGAGACCACCTTGTCTTGTTCTCAGCATCTACCCCTTGAAAAGACTGCCCAGCACATCTACTTGCAATGCCCAGACACATGCGGCTGGGTAAGGACAGTCTGTCCCCACCGGCCCCTGCTGGTCACATCAAGACTTTAGTGACTGGATGGTGCAAGTAGAAAAGACCTGAGCAACTGAGAGATTCAGTTTGCTGGCAGCTTTGCTACTCAGTGTAGCGGAAAAGAGACCAAGAAAGGCAGGCCTTTCACAAAGAAGATGACTTTTTCATAAATTGGATAAAAGTAAAGATTTCAATGTGTTTTTTGTGAAATTAGAACATGATCAGATCGTGTGACAGTGACACTAAAAGATGAGGGTAGTATGAGATGACAGCTACGAGACTAGGCTGTTTTACCAGCGGGTTTTGGAGTTTTTCTCACACTGACAAATCTAATACTTGTCGGACAGCTTGCTCTGCAAACTGCAAAAAAGGTGTTTCTTTGATGTAAGGGATAAAACTGGACAGCTTGCTCTGTCGGGCCAACAAACTGCAAGCAAGGTGTTTCTTTGATGTAAGGGATAAAACAAGTTAACCATTCCTTCCCAAGTACACTCACGTCTTTCTGTAATAATTTTAGTGAGAATGCTCAGACCTAGCAAAAGTGACAACTGTTATTTGGCTCCTCTGTAATCTGCCTAATCTGCTGGTCAGTACTCATATTCCCCACGGCTGCCTGGTGTGCAGAAAGGTGAATGCCAGCTTAGTCATAAGCATGTCTTAGCTAAAACCTGCGTGCAGAAGCAAGGAAATGTAAGTGATTTGGAACTTGTGAGGAGCTGGATCAGGAAACACAGAACTAACCCTACTAAGAAGTGGCATATTTTCTAATAATTTTTTTTTTTATTATTGTAATTGGGGAAGACTATTTATAACCAAGGCAGGACAAAAGGATCCTGCAGGACCATGACAGCAGCCATTTATTTCAGCATAACTGCATCTTGAGTCTCTGCTAATACTCTTGGTTTTGAAGGGGCCAAATCCTCTCAGCTCCAGCTACTGCAAGTGAGTGTGCACATGGCTTAGTACTCATGGTTCAGCTTGTGTGTTTTGGGCTGTGTAACACAACAGATTAAAGTGCAAGATTGCAGGCATTCTAAGAAAAAAAATCTACCAATGGAGCTGAAAGCAGAATAGAGAATACAGTCCAGCTTCATGGGTCAGGAATGAAGCCCTTCTACCTACTAGACAATCCTATTTCTACCCTTCTGCAAAACGTTCCTTCCAATACTCGCAGCTTAGAGCCACTTGACTGCAACGCCTGGTGCTGTCTTGCAGCCTTTTCATGATCTGATCCAACATGCAGAAGGGCTTTAGCTGACTAGGAAGCCTCCGGCTGTCACAGTTTGATTCATCAGGCTCCTGTATACCCTAAGGTTGTCTGTGTCACCGTGTCATTAAATTACATCATGTTTCATCACATATAGAAAGAAGGCTGATGTGCAGGAGCTGGGACCAACAGTAATAGTCAGACTGTACCAGTAAGGCGTCTATGAGCTCATCGTCGTGTTTTCCTTTCTCCAGCAAGGTTACGATCTGTCCCTTCAGGGTTTTCACTTCGCTGCACAGTACTTTGTTCCTGGCTTTTGATGCATCAAGTTTTTTTTTCACTTCCTCATGACTTTTTTGGAGAGCATCATGTTCCCCAGTGAGTTTCTGCAGTGATGCAAACACATCATAGGAAATGACAGTTATAGCCTATCACCAAGCCCCAGGTGCTTTGGTGAGCTAAAGGAATCACACATCGCCTGGTAGAATCTAAAAAATGGAACTGGCATATCACATCATCCCTAAATAAGTAGAAATTATAAATGCTACTACTCACTGCCTGCTTGCCAGCATCAAAAAAGGTCTATCTGCTCAGGAATACAAGTGGACTAGGTTGATTCAGTATGTGCCAGGAAGCAAATGATAATTTTGTGTTAAAACCTAATTCTGTATGCTCCTTTTTTCATTTGCCTCACCATTCTCTACGGGGAAACTCCCTTCCTTCCAGATACAGGGTGGTGATGCCACACTATCTACTAGAAGCTGTCCTCGGCATACACTGCCTCCTGCACCATGCCTTTACCTAGATGAAACTGTCCAGGAAGCACGCTAGCAGTTAAGTAGTAATGGACAAGTACAGGGGAAGTTATCGTGAATGGAGCCTGAAACACAAAGGCAGAAGTGGAACCATGCAGATTACAGTTATTGAGGAATGCCTTCCCTGTGCTGTGTGCCTGTACCTGTAAATCTTCTCTTTCGTTCTCACGGCCAAGAGTGAAAGGTGTGTATCACCCCATTGCTCATCCTGTTGCACGGTTAAATTGTGGTGGGAAAAGCAGAGCTAACCAAGCTCTGGGATGGTGCCAGATGGCCTTTACAGAAGCAAATATAGGAAAGGAGCACAGGGAGATGTGCTTTGCTAACCTGAATACGTGTAGCTGACCTGCACTACCCATGTTTCTTGTGGACACAGGCCTATGTATCCTTTCCACCTCAGGGTTTACTACATGTGCCACTAGCTATAGCCTCTCTCAACCCCTAAACGCTGGATGCCTGTTTATTTTTGTAGCAACTACATGTGATAGAGGGAGGGTAAGACCCATTTTAGGAATGCCCCTTAGAGGATGTCTGGTATAATTCTTAACTTTATTCTGTTCAAATGTAGAAGCCCATAGCCATACAGATATATGAGGTGTGAGGGGGATGCTTGTATTTAACCATGCATGAAGAATGCACATCTGGCCAAAGGGTGAGGAGGATGCTACAGAGCTTGGATGCAGCTGTAGCAGGGCTTCTTTCTACATATGCCTTCAATATAAAGCCAGCACCAGCTGCAATTGCAACCCAGGGCCTCTCTCCCTCTTTCTAACATCACATATCAAGCACAGCTGTCAGGTGGCCACATTTCAGGCCAAGTAGATGCATCCGACACATGAATCATAAAGCAGAGGGGAAGACCAAATCTTGTACTGCAGAGGTATGCCTGGCCATGCAAGAGTGCAATACAGACAAGAAGCGTGGAAGCCTTTTGCTCAGTCTGTGAAGTGTGGCAGAACTTCCTCCAGCAGATCACGTGGGTTTCTGAAGTGGTCTCTGGGTACAGTGTAACATACACCCCGAAGGTAAGGCAAGTTATTACACACTATATACCCAAATAGGACTCTGTCAGCTCACAGGTTTTTACCTCCAAAGTTTCTTTCTTTTCTTTTTCCAAGCTGCGAATCTTCAGCAAGTTCTTCTCTTGGGCTGACAATTTCCTTGGATCCATAAGGGCCAGCAGTTCCTCATCAATCTCACTCAGTGATGTTCTGGTCTTGTTTTGACCCAACTGATTCTCCAGCTCTCGAACCTAGAGGACAACAATGACAACTCATCTAGAGCCTTTACCAGGAGTACAGTGGTCCAGCATCAAAGATCACATAACCTAAGGGAACTCAGAGCGTAGCATTGTATTACTTACTTCTTGACATTATCATGGTTAACTAACACAGAGCAGTGTCTGTTCTTTCAAATTTAAATTTGCTAGCTGCTAACAAATATGCAGATGTCTAGGGCATCTGTGCAGGGAGGAGATATGACACAAGACCTACAAGAGACTCAAGACACATGGGAGATCTGTACCTTATTGGAGCCACGTGTGGAGGCCAGGCAGACACTCCAAAGCATCTTGAATGCCACTAAAGACACGTGTAGGCAACAGAATAATACTTTAGATCTCCTCTAAAAGGCCAGACACCCACTCAGCTATATACACTTAAGCATCTCGGTCTTTAGCAGAATCACCATCCAGGATGTCCACAAAGTAAACACCTAAGGCACAGTTCACTAGCCTGAACGTAGGTACCTAGGACTGTTTGAGATGCCCTGGGATACTGGAGACACATATGACGCAGGATCTGCAAGACATCCATACTCCTCTGGAGAGATGACCAGAGGTCAGAGGGACACCCTATGGCTGGCACTAGACACCTACGTGTGGTCAAGTGAACTCAGCCCCCGCATCTCAGCTATTCACTATAGACTTCTTTTATAGTCAGTAGAAGGAAATGGGCACTGCTACAGCACAGTTCCTCTGCCCTGTTCTGGAGGTGTCTTCTAAGATAAGATGCACCTACCTCACTTTTGATCCAGTGACTGTATTTACAAGATCCCCACTGACTACAGAAGGGGCCCAAGGAGACTGGCTCAGAAAAGAAATCTCTACATTACAGTAGAGTACAGTACGTACAGTCTTCAGATGAATCCCAGCCAGGGGGTCTAACGGAAGGAAAATGTAATTTGCTCAAGGGAAACTAGAGGTTAACAATTTCAGTCAATCAGAGTGCAAAAATCACAGTTTGTTGGCATATAACTATACAGCAGAAAAACAGGAAAAACAGGAAAAATATGCATCAAATTGCCTGAGAGCAGTTTTATTTAAGATGCAGACAAAACTGCCTCCCTGTCTCAAGCTGACATTTCAGTTAGACTGTGCCCTTCAAAAGATTCAAGAGTTAAAGATCATAGAATCATAGAATTGTTTAGGTTGGAAAAGACCTTTAAGGTCATCAAGTCCAACTTGTACCCTAACACTGCCAAGTCCACCACTAAACCATGTCCCTAAGCACCTCATCTACATGTCGTTTAAACACCTCCAGGGATGGTGAAAGTTTTCCTCACATCCAATCTAAACCTCCCCTGGCGCGCAACCTGACCATTTCCTCTTGTCCTATTGCTATTTACTTGGGAGAAGAGACCGACCCCCACCTCGCTACAACCTCCTGTCAGGTAGTTGTAGAGAGCGATGAGGTCTCCCCGGAGCGTCCTTTTCTCCAGGCTAAACAACCACAGTTCCCTCAGCCACTCCTTGTAAGACTTGTTCTCACCTTAAACTGAGGTAATATCTATACTTAGAAAGAGCATCCCAACACCCAGCTTACATGGCACCATGCAGGGTCTTAACTCACCTTGCTTTGGAGAACAAGAATTTGCTGGGCTCGTCCACGCCAGCTGCCAGAATTGGTCAAGAGACTTTGAACATTCACATCTTCACCAACTTCATTTGCTAAAAGCTATGAAAAAGGGATTAACATCAACAATAAGGTTAGGCTTAAATACATGTGTTGGGGAGAGGGGAGGAAAAGCCGCTCTCTCTAGCGGTAAACACAAAACACTCTATCTATACACAGCAGCCTTTATCACCTGTATCATATATCCTGTATTCCATGTGATGCAAGCTCTTTCAGATCATTATTGCAATACAGAGTGTTGGTGCTTAGGAGGGGTTTGGCTAACATGAATTATTTCACTTTGTGAGGGGGGTAATTCAGTATTTTGATGTTTGACTAATATTCTTTGATTTTTTAAAAATGTGAATCTGTTTTTTGCTGCCGGCCTTGAGAGTGTGAAATTGTACTATCTAGCTGTGTAGCTGGGTGTCAAATTGTGCTACTTTTGTAAAAAGAGGATTTAAAATTCATCACCAAGGTTTACTAAGCATTACTAACAGTTTTTAAAATATGCAATTATTTTTGATATAATGAATACTTAACCAGAACTAAACAGGAACAGCGTAAAGAAATTGTCTTAATACACACCTTTGCAATCAGGAATTGAGCCAATCTCTCTTGCACAATTCCAACTCAGCCACATTAATGAGAGCTACAGTTAGTATGAAGAGCATTTAAATTATTTATAAAAAGGTCAGCAGAGTTCTATTTTTAGGACCATATTCTCTACTCTGATCTGCATTGCAGGTCTCTTATGCAAAGTAATGAAACCAAAGGAAATAGAGCACATAGTAACACATTAAAATCCATCATGAATCAAAGAGGAAAAGGTTACTCCGGATGTCACTCCAACAAACTGTTTAAACATGTGCTTTAGTTCAAGCATGGCCTTTAACCTCATTGACTTCCATGGGACTGAAGCCTACATTAAAAGTAAATACATAATTAAATGTTTTGGAAAGGAGGAATGGGCCTGAACGTATGCTTCAAGTCAATCACAAACCTATTTTGCTGAACTGGGACTTTCAAACCTTAAAGAATCTGTACCCATCATAGCAATAGAAATAACGGATACAGTCATCCAGCTATGGTGGCAGAGCATGAAATCTGTGTGTCCACGTGCATATCTTTCCAATTCAGCCACTACACCTGTGTCTTTTCTTATCGCTGGAATACTTCACGGAGGCTAATCAAAGCTCAAAAGAAAAGAAGCCTCCTTCTGATTTCACAAGAATATACCTCTTGCACAGGATCCCAGCCACAGACTGCATCCTGCAACGGTACCTTTTGGGTCATCTTCAGTTCCTGTTTTGCAGACTGGAGTTGGTTACGATACTCCATCACTTTAAAGTTGGCTGTGGTTAATTTTTCTTGCAACGCTTTCACCTCTGGACTTTCAGCCTTTGAAGAGAAGAATATACTCGGTAAGAACACAATCCTCAGGTTAAAACTGAAGTGATTAAGATCCACAGATCCATCAGGATCACAGAATCTTGTTTTCCCAGACCCATGCAAATGCCTTCCCTAATTTTTGGGGTCATAGAGAAGGTACAAACAGAGCAATTTGGTCACAAAACTAGTGACAGGGATACATCCTTGTCATAAGGAAAGGACTGCACAGTAGGAGAGAACTAAGTATCAGCTTCTGATTTCCTCTCTTCAATTATAATTCGTACCAAGTTTCCTTCTATCGTCTTCAGAGTTGATTGCTTGATTCCTGCATCACCACCACCAAGAGAATGTATTTTTTCTACGGCTGTCTGTAGCTGGAAAAAAATGCAGTTATTATAGAATGAATACAGTGAAGAGCATACCTCTATGAAATATTAATTAGCAAAAAAGTACAACGTGGATGTTTATTTACTCTAGAAAAAAAATTACTTCATTTTCCCTTGTTTTTTAAACACAATCAGTGAGAAAACATATAATTTTTTCCTGAAAAGCTTCCCAAAGAAGCATGGGTTATTTTACTGTGGAATAACTTCAGTGAAAATGTCTCTGACTTGCTGAGATGGGATCAGTTATCAAGTATGGAGACTTCTGGGGGATTTTATCACCATAGGTTCATAAAATAAGTGTTTACATACATAAATGCAAATCCAGTACAGTACAGATCAAGATGTTGTCTCTAGATTCTGGATGCCAGTTTACCCACTTTTCAAGAGTATCACAGGATATTTCATAAAAAGCACATAGTCCTACTCACCAGAGGAATTTGAAAAGAGAAATGACTACCTAATGCCCTGTAGCTGAGATTTAGTAATGGTGTTAAGGCTCTTTTTCTTTAGCTGGTAGCTCTAAGGTAGCATTTCTCAACTCGTGAAGAATATGTCTCCTTTTGCTTGCCACAGCAAAGGCAGGCAGACATATAGCCCCTCCTGCTCTGAATCATGTCCTATGCTGAGGTTGCAAAGACTTCTTACTGGACACTGAATTTAGAGCTGGAAAGGCCAGGAAGTGTTGCTTTAAAGGGCTGAGACTTCATTCTTTGAGGTGGGTGGAAAATCTTGATAATTTGCCTGAATAAAAGACAGCTCTAAGGAATGGCTTCTTCATTAAAGTGATATCCAGAGAAACATGGAGTGTAACTCATAGCCGGCTCTAATGTCAACCCTTCTCTGCAAGTAAATCAATGGTTAGGCCACCCGTTCTATCCAGTTCATAAACTCTTTTAGTCAATGGACTGAGAATGAGAAATTTCAGCTAGTGTTGGCAGCTGCTAGGTCAGATTCTAAGGAAATTTTCTGCAAACATCCGTTTGCAGTCTTTGTTTACACATACCACCCTTTGCTAAGTGATTGCTCAATGGCCACACCTTCCATTTTGTTTGTGGGAACATAGTCATGTTAAAACACTTATGACTTACATATTTTTCAGTTTTCATACAAGCAAAGAGATAACAATTATGTAAAATAAGAGTGTTTTCCACTGGTGAAAGTATATATTGTGATGCATTTGTAAGGTACCATCACCACAATTCATTTTGAAGAGCTTAAGGCATCTGGAAGTAGGCATAGGCGATGAGATTCAACTCACAAATTAACACATTCCTTGTTTTCAGTGTGGGTGTCTCTATAAAGAACGGAGTCTAGTCAATACAATCACGCAAGCCTAGCCTTCAGATCAGTTTACAGTAGACACCTACATTACATCAAGTGGATGCACTGACTGTGGATTCAGCTTTGTTGCCCACCCACAGCTGTCTGGTCCCATTTGAGGCATCCAAGGGTATCCAGCAGGCCTTCAGCTGCTGCACCAGGACTACGAGTCCTGTCACGTCTAACAGCCCTGCAGGGATGTCTGAGAGGTCAAGTGGCATCTCAGATTGTACTTTTACGCTTATGTGTGGGCAACTAAATTGCACTTTAGTTGTCTTGGTTCTTTCTACAATCAATGGAAAAAGGTGAGTTCATCTAGACAGTGATCCAGCTTAGCTTAAGAGTTACTAAAGAGATGTGAATCACTGCAGGTTCCTATCTATGACAGCTCTTCTCTTTCATCACTCAACATTTTTCATAGATCATAGGATCATACAATCATTAAGGTTGGAAAAGACCTCTAAGATCATCGAGTCCAACTGTCGACCCAACACCACCATGCCCACTAAACCATGTCC